TATAAACTACAATATCAAAATTTTGCATTGATGAAGCTTGAAACAAAATCTTCCTACATGCACCTTATACTTGCCGTTGGAACTTTTCCAAAGTTTGGAGATTAGATTTCAGAACCTATGGATAAAGAACTTCTTATCTTTTGTCATTTACATACAAGTAAAAATATGTTAATGATAAGAGGTGAAAAATTCACTAAAGATTCACCACATTAAAGTGTGTCTCTTATACTATTCATCAAACATTGACAGCACCGACATACTCGAATACATAATCCACAGGAATCGGATGTGGAAGCACTGCATCAAACCACTCGACCTTTCCCCAAATCTCTTCGCTATTGCGTCTATCAAGTGCAATCATCGCACACCAAATCATCCTATTCTCATAGCCACGACCACCACCGGAAGCCACAAACTTGTCCCAAAAAAGTGCCATTTTCCCACCATAATCCGCCAACCTAACATTGGCATAACGAGCAAACTTAGGCAGCTTTTTCATACCATTTAAATTTCTCCAAGATCTTGCCTTAGTGTCATACCATTTGATCTCTTCTCCGTAATAATAATAGTAAAGCACGTTCTCTATCACACAAGAAGAAGACCATATCAAACCCAATTCCATCTCCGATTCTAAACTATTCCATGTACCATCCTTGGGGGTGTAAGCCACACCCTTATCCCCAATAATGTATAGCTTTCCATCAACCACTACGTTATGAGTTTCATCATGACATATATATAACGTCAATCTCTTGTATATCCCTGCACGGCTCAACACAGGCTCCCAAGTTTTTGTTTTTAGATCGAAAACCTCCATCCAGTTTGATGGATTGTAGTGTTTATAACAGCCTCCTGTTACGTATATCTTTTCATCAAGGAAATTGGCTGATGGGTAATCCCGCTCCACATACATGCTTGGAGCTTTGAGCCACGTGTGAGACCAGCAGTCTAGGATTGAAACATTTGATGAGGGCGAATCGTAGATGGATCCTCCAATGTTGTAGATATTAGAACCAACCGCCACGAGACCTGAACCGTGCGCAGGAGGAGAATGGAGAATTGGGATTGTTGCCAAAACATACCCGCTTGACTTCTTCTTCTTCTTAGTGTCATTGGTTAGGATTTGATTAGGTCTCCGACACAGCATGAACCAGCGAGGGATACGGTCAGTACGAGAGAACCGTAAGCATACATAGAGACAATTATCGGTACGACCTAATAGTGACCGGGTTTGGTAAAGCTCGGGGGAAGTAAGGAGCGAGCGGAAGCGCTTGGAGACTAAGGAAAGAGTTGGATAATACAATCTCGAGACACGGGCTAAGATAGTCACTATCAAATCTTCTGGAAGTGAAAGATTCAAGGTTGGTGGTTCTATTGGCAGTTTATTCTTCTTCTGTGGTGGCTCTTCATCGTTCATGGCTCAAACTTTAGGGTTTTGAATTGAATTTGCTTGCACGTTTCTTCACGAAAGTTGTATAAATATGGAATTGGACTACATATTGATGGGCCGAATCAAATGACCTGGCCCAGTAAGTCCACATATTGTTTATGTTTATTTGCATTATTTTGAGTGACACACAATCAAATACGTTTTTTTTGTTTGTTTGGTACAATTCAATTCACCGCCGGTCTATTTTTATATAACGGAATCCCATGCTCACTATTTAGAAGGAACACTGATAACAAACTACAGGCAAATGGAAAAATATAAAAAATCGCCAAATCTTTCCCATTTGTTTGAACCAGATTCAGTCAAATACTAATCCATCACTAACAGTCTAACAATGACCTTTTTCCGTGAATAGTCAAAAGTCTTAACTTAAGACTTTTAAGTGTAAAAGGTCTTAAAATGAACACACGAAAGAAACACTTTTCTCTTTGACGTTTTCTCCTCTCATAACGCGTTAAATAATACACTGCCATGTTATTAATACATATAGCTTTAACTATCTGATTGTGTTGTCTTTGAAATTCTCTTTAATTACACATTCGATCTCTCATGGCTTCCTCTTCTTCTTCTTCTTCCTCTCGGAGTTGGAGATACAACTTCTTCCCGAGCTTCCACGGGCCAGACGTCCGTGTAACATTTCTAAGTCATTTACAAAAACAGTTTCAACACAATGGGATCATAACGTTCAATGATGAAGGGATCGAGAGAAGCCAAACCATTAGTTCTGAACTCACACGGGCGATAAGAGAATCTAGAATCTCGATCGTGGTGCTCTCGGAGAACTATGCTTCTTCAAGTTGGTGTTTGAAGGAGCTGGTGGAGATTTTGAAGTGTCAAGAATCTGCGGGACAAATAGTGATGACTGTTTTCTACAAAGTGGATCCAAGTGATGTGAGGAAACAGATGGGAGAGTTTGGGAAGGCTTTCAAGAAAACTTGCCAAGGGCAAACAGAGGCTCAGATGCATAGATGGACGCAAGCTTTGACCCATGTCGCCAACATAGCCGGAGAACACTCCCTGAATTGGTTAGTTCTTTAAAAAATTACAAGTAAATTTTATTTAACAATTAGGTGGTCATTAGTATCTTTTTTAAGGATGAGTTGTTTAAGCAGATGATTCATTACAATGAAAAAAGGTTTTAATCTTTTAGATTTTTTTTTCTTGTTAGGGACAATGAAGCAAACATGATTGAGAAGATTGCTAGAGATGTTTCAGAAAAACTAAATGCTACACCGTCTAAGGATTTTGATGGTATGGTAGGACTTGAAGCTCATTTGAGGAAAATTCAATATTTGTTACAACTAGAAACTGATGAAGCTATGACCTTAGGAATCTCTGGTCCTGCGGGCATTGGTAAAACTACCATTGCGAGAGCTTTATATAACCAAATTTCTAGCAATTTTCCGCTTAGATATTTCATGGAAAATGTTAAGGGAAGTTATAGAAATATTTGTTGCGATGAGCATGGTTCAAAGCTGCGTTTACAAGAACAACTTCTTTCGCAGATTTTGAACCACAAGGGAGTGAAGATATGTAACTTAGATGTTATCTATGAAAGGTTACGCTACCAAAAGGTCCTCATCATTCTTGATGATGTGGATAGCCTTGAGCAGTTAGATGCTTTGGCTAGGGATATCTATCGTTTTGGTCATGGAAGTAGGATTATTGTAACTACGAAAGATCAAGAGCTTTTGCAACGATATGGCATCAACAATACATACCATGTGGGTTTTCCATCTAATGAAGAAGCTCTTGAGATCTTTTGTAGATATGCTTTTAGGAGAAGCTCTCCACATTATGGTTTTGAGAAGCTTGCAATAAGAGTAACAGAGCTTTGCAGTAATCTTCCATTAGGACTCCGTGTCGTGGGTTCATCTTTACGCGGGAAATGTGAGGATGAATGGAAAGTTATAATGAATAGGCTTGAAACTAGTCTTGATGGAGATATCGAGAGAGTATTAAGAGTCGGATATGAGAGTTTACATGAGAAAGATCAAGCTCTGTTTCTTCACATCGCAATCTTCTTCAACTACAAAGACGAAGATTATGTAAAAGCCATGCTCGGTGAGGATAATTTGGATGTCGAACATGGGTTGAGGAACCTAGTCAATAGATCTCTCATAGACATATCTACCAATGGAGATATAGTGATGCACAAATTACTACAACAAATGAGTAGACAAGCCATTCATAGACAAGAACCTTGGAAACACCACATCTTAATTGATGCTCATGAGATTTGCGATGTCCTTGAATATGATACAGTAAGTTCTTTAACACTTTTTTCTTTTCATATTGTTATATTCTTTCTTATGGTATTGTGCTAACAATTTCTTCTGTTTGGAATTTGGTATAGGGTACTAGAACCGTGTCTGGCATATCGTTTGATACATCCAAAATGAGCAAAGTGTTTGTAAGCAAGGGAGCTTTTAAAAGAATGTGTAACCTTCAATTACTCAGTGTAAGCGATGAAAATGATAGAGTTTGCATACCGGGGGACTTGGAGTTTCCACCTCGTCTAAGGTTACTACATTGGGAGGCATACCCGAGAAAGAGTCTTCCTTTTAGATTTTATCTAGAATATCTAGTTGAACTCGATATGCGGAATAGCCAACTCGAGAAGCTCTGGGAAGGACCCAAGGTCGGTCTTTCGATTAGTTTAGTTTGAATTTATGATTAAGTACTTTCTCTTCATGATTTGATGGTCTTCTTTCTCTGTTATTTGGTTTTACATTCAGCCTCTTACAAATCTCAAGAAGATGGATTTGTCGATGTCCTGTCATTTGAAAGAACTCCCAGATTTTTCCAATGCCACGAATCTTGAGAGATTGATTTTGGATGAATGCGAGAGCTTGGTAGAGATCCCCTCATCTTTTTCAAATCTTCACAAACTAAAAGTGTTGAGCATGTTTGCCTGCATGAAGCTAGAAGTCATTCCAACTCGCATGAACTTGGCATCTCTTGAATCAGTCAATATAACGGCATGCCAAAGATTGAAAAACTTTCCAGACATCTCTAGGAACATCTTACAACTCTCTATCTCACTCACAGCGGTAGAACAAGTGCCTGCATCAATTAGGCTTTGGTCTCGTCTTCGTGTTCTCAACATAATCATAACCAGTAATGGAAAGCTAAAGGCATTAACACATGTTCCCCAAAGTGTAAGGCATCTAATCCTAAGCTACACTGGTGTTGAGAGGATTCCATATTGCAAGAAAAGTCTCCATCGGTTACAACTTTATCTAAACGGCAGCAGAAAATTCGCAGATTCGCTTAGAAACGATTGTGAACCAATGGAGCAACTTCTTTGTTCTTACGAGACTCCATATGCGCAACTCAATTACACCAACTGCTTCAAACTGGACAGTAAAGTGCGACGAGCAATCATAACACAATCGTTTGTTCAGGGATGGGCTTGCTTACCCGGGAGAGAAGTGCCTGAAGAGTTCGAGCACCGTGCCAGAGGAAATTCCTTGACCATACGTCTGATGGGTGACATGCCTCTCACCATTCTCAAGGTTTGCGTCGTGATTTCCCCTAACCAGCAGACCAGAGAATCCGAACAACTATTGTGTCGTCGTATGGGCAAAGGAAATGCATACCTTCCCATTGACGAGATCAGTGTCTACACAATCCCCAGAATCCAAAGAAAACACTTGTTTCTGTTTCACTCCTACTTGTTTGAAGAAGAACGATTCCGCGAAGTAACGAGCAGAGAGCTAGTGTTCGAATTCAGTAGCGAACTCGAGATTGTTGAATGCGGTGCTCAGATCTGGAAGGATGAATCCGAAATAAACAACAATTGTGGATACCAAACTGCAAATGGTAAACCAGGATTCGGTGAGGAAGAAGATGGCGGCAATAACCAGCAGGATACATATGAATTCAGCAAAGCTTCTGAAGAAGACGAAGTTGACAGTACTGTGGACAGAGAATGTGAATCTGAATCCGTCGAAGCATACGAAGAGATGAATCCGGCAAAGCGCGCAAAGAGATAAGCTTGGCAAAGCATAAGAAACCATAGACCACTTTTTATAAGATGTTGATAATCCCTAGAGATTATTACTGAAACATATATCATTTCTCGAACATAGCTATGGGCCTGAAAAAAACTCAAGATTTGAGTACTCTCGTCAGTTTTTTTTCTTGTCTTGCCTAAGCTGAATGTTGTACCATTTCTTCTTCTTCACTCCATCCTCTTCCCTAACTGCGACTTCTCCTTCTTCTCTAGGTTCCATTAAAAGACTGCTCTTCTTCTTGCTCTTTCCCTTGCTCCAGCTTCTGTTCTTGCTTGAACCTTGCTTCGATGGTGGGAAGATTGTGTACGCCGCACATATCTCGTTCCTCCTCTTAAGAAGCTCATCAATCTGCAAACAAAACAAATATTAATTACTTGTTTCTTATGTAATCAAGAAAACAGGAGACAACGGGGTGATATTGTAAGCTATCTCTCACCTCTTGCACTTCCCCTGTGCATTTACTAGCCATCTCTGTGAATTGTGCAAAGACCTCGTGATATTCAGATTCAAACTTCAATAGCTCGGATCTTTTTGAGACTATCTGCGCTTCAGTGGACCGAAGACTCTCTTTCTCATTAGCAAACGGAGCAGATGAGAATATTTCTAGAGTGTAGCTCACACTTTTGAAAAAATTATCACCTAGAGTAATATGACACCAAGTGAGGCTACTTTACTTCTAATAGAGTGGACTACCAATTCCTTGAATACTGTAAGTGAATAAAACAAACATTACCATAAACAGCAAAGACATGAGAACCAGCTTTAAGTTCAGTGATCTCAAACGGTTGGAATGTATCAAGCCTTTTGAAAAATCCGGTTTCTGGATCCCTTGAGAGAGCCCTCTGTGTACAGAAGAGTGAAAACTGAGTACATGGTGATCAAAAGAAGAAAATAAAGGTGGTTAACTTAAGAGGGTAGAGAAGATAATTAACTGAATTAACCCTGTGATCAAAACGATAAACAGGGAAGCCGAAAAAATACAACCCTGCAGTCGAGAGCTTTCCTGTCTTCCTGCTGTCTTCCTTTTGCAGAATGGAAGAAAATAAAACGCAATTTAGAAACCAAAATAAATTTAAGAGGCATGAAAGTTCGACTGGATGCATAATTTTGACGTTACAGGTTAATGAGAAGAGCAAATTATAAAAAACAATTATGATCAAACCACTCTGTGATGTAATCAGAAGATGTGACAATAAATTAGTTACTCAACAAACAAAATGTATAAAACTTCATACCTGTAGGGCCAAGCTCAGTCCTCCATTCTCTACTTGTTCAAAGTAAAGCAACTGAAAAGCAAAAGGAATCATAGGTAAAATACAGAATACGAAAAACAACTAAGAGATTCTTGAGCACGCAAGGCAAGAGTTTGAGCTAATGAACCTTGAATTTGTTTTTAGCAGATGACTGCACCTTACATATCAATCCAGCCTGGGCTTCTTCCTCTGTTAAGGTAACCGAATAAAAGTGAGCCGATTGCTTTTCAACCTGTTAGAGAAGAAAATATGTTACAGACGACAAATCCACATTAGTGCAAATGCTAGCCTACTAAAACTCTCATTATCATACCTTCCTGGACACGACTTGCCCAACCATGAGAGGCAAAGTAGTAACCGTACCATTCAACGCCTCCCCCAATAAATTTGCAGAGACAGTTGTCTTAATCTGCACACCAAGCTTACTGTGGTAGACAAAATTGTCAAGTTCTTAGTTATCTATCAGAGCAAAGGGGATTTATGGTAGAAATGAAAAAACAGAGAATAGAGCAAGTAAGTCTATGAAACTCACTTGAACAGCGCGGCAAATATAGTATTAACAGCTCCTAAGCTCGAAAGATCGAGCTCAAGATCTTCATTTTCCTGACCCACAGCCTACATCCCATGTAAAATCAATACAATTTAGATGATTTTGGACAAAGGGTCATCTAAAGAAGAACTAGAAATCTATAGCCTTAGGTGATTTAAGGTTATCTAAGAAACTGCAAAAGTGGAGAATTATTGTTCCAACTCTAATAAAACCAGTAGCAAAACTCAGGACTTGTATGAATCTCACCTCAGAGCCAGTAGTATCATATAGACGCCGATTCTCAGGATCAGACAAGACCTCATAAGCAAATGTAACTTCCTTAAACATATCCGCTGCAACCGGGTCGTTTGGATTCTTATCAGGATGGTACCTAAATAACCAAACTTCAGTACATGTAACAAGTTGTATCCACCAAGTAATCAACTTTAACACAGAGAGAATACTTGCACAAAACCTAAACCTCTTAAATCACTTCTAAACCTAAATTGCATCACAAGAAAAAAATCTTAATCACGCAAAGTTTTTCAAGACCTGAGAGCCATTCTTCGATAAGCACTTTTGATCTCTTGATCAGTCGAGTTGCTGGGGATGCCAAGGACTTCATAAGGGTTTCGTCGTCGGAGCTCATCTTCTTCTCCGGCGTCTTTATTCTCCGATCTCGATGAATGAGTGGCCATTTTTCAATTGCAGAGTTTGAAAATCGTCCTCGAGTTAAATTCCCAAAGCCGGTGATATAGTAAAATCTGGGGATCTTCGCGAGAGAATTAGCAAGTGGGGAGAATAATGATTCATGCCTCGTGAATTGTGGATTGTTGTTACACCAAAACCCTAGGAGGAGAGACAAAGAGAGAAGAAGCTCCATGGGGAAAACCCCACAAGCACTGATCTGGAGAAGACAAGAGAGAAGAGACGAGACACTAATTCGTTTATTTTTGCTAATTTCTTTTTATTATCTAATTTAAATTTTTAGTCACTGTTAGTTAGTTAACTAGAAACGGCCAAAAACAGATCAGAAAAATGCCCATAAAGAATACTGTAAATGGCACGTGCCTCACATGTGAGGTGCCAACTATCTATCGGGGATGACTGTAGCTATTCCAACAATGTGTGTGAGGGAAAATGGTGAATTTCAATCCGAATAAATTCCAAAGTACGTTTTTCTACTTAAATTAAGTTATAGTGCATTTTTCAACCTCAACACTAAAATAATTTAAATATATTATCCAAACTATTAGATTTGAGCGTAAAACTACATTTACTTTAAAAAAAATTAGTCAACTGTTTGTTTTCGCTCAGTTAGACGATGGCGACAAAGTATCATTTTATCTTAATCAAATGATGTCGTTTTGGTCATTGAGTTCATAAACTCAACCGAAAGACGCCGTTTTGGTCATTTGAATCCGTAAACTCAACAAAACAATGATGTTTGGTTAAGACAAAATAACATTGGTAAAGATAAAATGACACTTCGTTGTCATCGAATTAAGTTTATAGACTCAAATGACCAAACAAATGTTACACTTCGACACTATCATGTCGTCTAAGTGAGCGAAAACAAACAGTTGACTAATTTTGTTTTAAGTCAATGTAGTATTTTGCTCAAATATAATAGTCTGACTAGTTTATTTGAATTATTTTAGTGTTGAGGTTGATAAAGACATTGTGACTTTGTTGAGGTATAGAAACGCACTATGCAATTTGTTCGGGTTGAAATTCACCATTTTCCCATCTTCCCTGAGTAATAATGATCCAGTATTTTTTTTTTCCCAAAATTCAAAAAACACAGTCTGACCTTGACCAATGGTGCAATTTAATTGTGCAATGAAGTTGTTGAATTGTTTGAAAAGTATATGTAGATTTAATTTAGTTCCAAAATATTCAACATCTATTGAATTAAAAGAAAATGGTAACGCTAACTAAATATCCAGCCGAATTCAACAAGATTCAGCAATTCCGCAGTCACCATTTGCATATAAAACTAAATTCAGCTAGATTTAACAGTTTTTTTAACACCAACAGATACGTAGATATGTTTATTTCTAGTTAATTCGGATAACAAAGAGTACACTATTCGAATTAAAATATTTTGGACGTCAAAAATTACACATCAAATTTATATTTTAAAATAAGTCAGATTATAGAGATACAATATATGAATGATTCATACACAAAAATATCACTACCAGAATAGACAAGAGACGAATTCATGTTCAGATAACTGTAGAAAATTTTAATAACTTTTAAATAACTTAAATCAAATTTTAAAATTTTGCAAAAACAACTCATAACTATGCTAAAATATTTTAGTAATTTTATTAATCATCTTGATCATATTATTGATTAACCTACTAGAGAACAATTAAAAAAACAAGTAGATAATCTATATTATATTATCATGTTATTTTTTGAAATGAATTTTTCAATAAGGCTTTGACACATCTTTTCGTTAATTATTTACATATTTTTAATAGTTCAAAATTAAATACGGAAGAATAACTCAATTTTGCTATACAAATATATTATTATATTAGTGTTAATTTTAGATAATTATCTATTTTATTTAGATATTTTTAATTATTCTATCAATATTCATAATTTTTTTACGATACTTTTCAGTAAAAGTCTTAATTATTTTGACAGATTTTACCTAATATCACAAAAAGGATTCACGTAGATTCAGCGGTTACTATTTGAAAATGTAAAAATTCAGCAAGATTCAACTGAAAATCACTAAAAATTCATTCAGATTCAACAATTCAGCCGGATTCAGTCAGAATATGGCAATTCTTGATCCGAATATGTAAACCGCGATCTGAACGGAGTATATCCATCCCCAAACATAACCCGATTAATCTCTAGTTATAAAAAAATTAGAAAGAGATTAAGTCTGTTTGGCAACACCCTCTATAGTAATGGCAAATGTGGAACTTTTTTTATAAACCATATGTTAAAATCCTGTTTGTGCTGCCGCTTTAATATAAATTATATAATAGATTATTTCCTTTGATAAACATATCCTAAAGGTTATTATTGGAGAAGAATTATGAATTATAGATAGTTTACTACATAGAAACCTCTTTGGCCCATTCGTTGACTAAGGATTAATTAATGCTTCTACACCGTCTGGGGTTCGAGTCCCAGACTCTGCGATTTACAATGCTATTGATTCAAGCCGCTTTAAGTTAATTTCTCAATGTGCATCAGCTCAAAAAGCTTGGAAGACATTGGAGAATATGTTTGAGGGCACTACAAGTGTTAAGAAAACGAAATTGGATATGTTAGCTTCACAATTTGAGAATCTAAGGATGGAAGAAGAAGAAACTGTTGCTGATTTCAGTGCCAAGTTATGTGACATATCTAATGAGTCGTTTGCTCTTGGAAAGCTTTACAAGGACAAAAAGCTGGCGAAAAAGTTGAAGAGATCATTACCTGCAAAATTTGAGTCAAACATTTCTGCAGTTGAAGAAGCTCATAATCTAGATGAGATGGCTTTTGATGAGTTTGTTGGGATTCTTCAAGCTTTTGAGTTAAGTAAAGCATATGAAGCTAAAGGAAAGATGAAGAAGGTAGATTAAGTGAAGAAGGAAATTGACATTGGAGTTGCTCTTAAGGGATTATCAACTGAAGATTCAATGGCTATGTTGTCAAGAAAGTTTACTAAATATCTGAAGCGAAAGGGAAAAGAGAAGAAGGATAGAATTGATGAAGAGTTGAGAAGTTCATCAAAGAATGTGCAGTGTTTTGAATGAAAGGTTATGGACATGTTTGTTCGGAATGCGCCAATCTACAAAAGCATAAGAAGAAGGTCATGAATGTTGTGACTAGTGATTCTGAAACTGATTCAGATGATGAAGAAAAACTGAAGAATTTTGTGGCGTTTACTAATTTTCTGCCAGAAACTGCAACAGAGTCTGCATCAGCGTCTGCAACAGAGTCTGCATCAGCGTCTGCAATAGAGTCTGCATCAGCGTCTGCATCAGCGTTTGCAACAGGGTCTGCATCAGTGTCTGCAACAGGGTCTGCATCAGTGTCTGCAACAGGACCTGCAATTAAAAGTGAAAACGATGAATGTGATAGTGATGCAGAGAGTGTTGATGATGAAGAATTTGCTGAGAATTACAGAGCCTTATATGAGCATTGGCTTAAAATGGTTGAGGAGAATTCAGTGTTAACTAAGGAAAAACTCAAGTTAGAGGCTAAAGTCATTGAAGCACGGAAATATACTGCAGAAAAAAGAAGAAGAAGCATCACAAGCTAAAGTACAACTTGAAGAAACTCAAAAGAATTTGAGGATGCTTAATAATGGCACAAAGAAATTGGATCATTTTCTGAATATAGGCAAGACGAATAAGTGTGGCCTTGGATTTAAAGGAAATCTTTCAATATCGGATCCGGTGTTTGTTTATGGTGGTAAAATCACGTCTGCTTCAGGAACTAACACAGAAACTGCAGCATGGACTGTAATTAATGCAAAGACTGTATCTAATACGAGAACTGATACAGAGTCTGATTCTAGAAAAGTTAAAGAACTGCAGAGTGCACCTCGACGAGTTTTTCGACCTGTTTGCCATCATTGTGGTGTTGTTGGGCATATTAGGCCAAGGTGTTTCAGATTGTTGAGGGAGAAAAATCGAATGGAGAATGCTTATGATGTGAGATTTCATGGTCCTACATGTTATCATTGTGGAGTTCAAGGGCATATTAAGAGGAATTGTTTCAGATTCATTCCAGAATCTAGTCATGTAGGCTTGAGGCGCCGGAAGATTTGGGTTAGGAAAGATGATTTCTATGGAGGTTGTGTACTAGGCTATCAACCTCGTATTCCAAAGCGGGGAGAATTTTCTAAGTAGTTTTGATCATGTTGTGACTCATTCAGAGGGAGAATGATGATGTGTTTCGTGATAGTGTTTTGGAGTTAGAACTGTTGAGTTCACAAACATAGTCAAAAAGGGGGAGAATGAAGATGTAGCTGCTGTCTGATGAAGTTGTTGAATGAGTCAAGAAGTAATACAAGATTTTGTCTGATGGAGTTGCTGAATTATTCAAGAAGTAATTCAAGATACGACTGTTTTGTGAGAGTGTCGGTTTCTAGAAGGTTTGAGAAGATATGTTTGGAGCGTGTTTAGAGGATGAATCACAAAGGAAAAAGGACTTAAAGAGATTTGAAAGACTTGATGAAATTGGAGTTTGATGAGAAAAAGGAAAAGTATAAAAGGAAATTTACTTTTTCTTATGCAAATTGGAAATCTTCTCCTATGGTGACTAGGAAATTGTTTTGGCTATATAAGGAGGAGCTGAGGACGTCTTGGAGAAGCAAGAGAGCGGAGGCATAAAGAAGAAATCTTTGAGAGCTTTCTGTGAGATTGTGTGCAACTTAGTTTTGCGGGTGTGCTTGTGTGATCAAGTGGTTTGTTTTGAAGTCTAGGCTCAAAGGGAGTTTAGCTCAGGGTTAGGTTATCCTGATTAAATCTAGACTCAAGGAGAGTTTAGTTAAGGGTAGAGATTATCCTTAAGGTTTCACGTTATAGAAGGGAGCGGTAAATCAAGAGGATTGGGCTTGTTTTACGCGTTTGCGAATTGATTGTAATTTGCTTTCTTGTTCTAGTGAAATTGAATCTGGACTTGGTCCCGGGGAGTAGGAAAAACCGAACCTCGTTAACAAATTTCTTGTCTCGTTTACTTTCTGCAATTTATCTTACCTCATCCGCACTTACAAACTGCACTTACCTTTCTT